AAAAATTTGTTGACTCTACTTTCTCTTTGCATGTAAATAAAGAGGTCTCTTTTATTTTATAATAAAAACTATTATTGTCCTATCCACCAATTTTATACTATTATATTATTCTTTAGGATCAAACATTTCAGAAATAATGATAAAAACTTAAATCTGAGTAAACGCTAAGTAGATTTATGCAATTAAAATTTAGGTTAAATCATTTTTGGAAAAAAAATCAAATATTTGTAAAAGCAATTAAAAAATTTACAATGTACCAAGTTAAAATCTACGCCATAAAAACTATAAACTACTATAGAGGATAGGTTTCATAGGAAAAGATAATTTGTTTTAAGTACAATTTAAACCGAAAAATTGTCGCCTACGTGGCGCATGCAGTGGTTGAAGGGGTTGCTCATAAGTTGCGAAGCATGGAGTTGATCATTCTGGCGCGGGTTTGAATCCCACATTGGGACGTGGAGACCGGTCTTGTGATAAAAACAATATAAATTGAGTAGGTGCTGGCACGAAAAAGATCATTCACTGTTGATAATAAACGTTAGTGCCGACTATACGACAAATTTTCAGCTCTCCAACGGCAAGTTGTGGCGTCTCCATTTAGTGAACAACTCTCGAGAGGGACATTAAACAACATACAAATAAACGATTATAAACTTGCTTCTATCCCTGTACTTAACTTACCAAATACTTTTCTGTTGCATCTCAAATACACATATTTAGATGATCCTATGATACCAAAATGAACAATGGCCATGTGAGACTCTTGTTCCAAGGAGTGGATTCTGTATTCCTCACGACCAGATACCACGATACAAACTGTGCAACGGAAGGCGTTTGCACAAATGTAAAATACAAACGGGTTCCATGTGTCTGGACTTTCCTGGTTAAGAAATTCGGTAATCCATTTGGAGCAGTTGTCAAATTCATTATAATGGACTCTGTGCTAAAATGAAGCATTTGATAACTATAACACAAATTTATAGTTACTTACAAAAAATTGAATCTAATGTTTCTGATTTCATAAAATCAGTGCACAAAAGGAAAAGTGCTCTGAATAAAAAAAGGATCTGCTGGTCTGTGTATTGATCAGATACTAGTATATGACTTTTGAAATCGCATCATCTCGGGTTGATTTTCCGCTAGTCTGAAAGGCCCGAGAAGTTGCGATTGGTATATGACTTATACATGTATATTCCATACTAAAATGTTTAGGACAGATTTGAATAGTAATGTTAGTTACAATTAGTATGTAGAATACCTACAAAAACGAGTCATCCGGGTTTATTCCGGATTTTTTTTAATATGTTGTTTTATTCATTTAAAAAAACACACTATTGAACATACATTTTTTGAGTACTGGGTATTAAAAATCACAATATATGGATTATTAATTGGGTAGATTTAATTCAGTCTCAATTTGAGGTTCAAGAAAAATGTTTCTAAGGTTCTTTCTTATTCTTTTTAGTTTATGTATAGAAAATTAATCTTACAGTTTTAAATTTTGAAGAAACAAAAGTTCAATCAAAATTTTAACATTTTTTTTTATCTGTGAACATACGTACCTTCTTTATCTCCTGACCAATTTTCAAATCAACAATAGTCTTGTCTCCAAATGCGAATGAAAGATTATCGACCATTTCTGCACCATCCTGAACAATCATTTTATTGCTGTTAAACCATTCAGCAGTTTTATAGGATGTTCTCTTGCTCAGCTTATTTATAATGTAGTTTATTTCTTCTTTATGAATGCGTAGAAAGACTGAAAAATATGCTTTTTTTTACTAAGATATGAAATTACATGTAAAATTATAAAATAAAATTAATTTTGTATCCGGATACATGATCGTGTATTATATACCAGCTGACATATTTGAATGTATAATATGTATACTTTGTAAACAGTATATGGCATAACCTTTGGAAAATGGCATGATCGATCATGCACGTCAACGTCAATAAAAAAAAACTGCCATTAAAAACCACAAAAAATTCCGTTTAGGTTTTCATTAAAGAAAATGTGTTTAGATTTCATGAATGCACGAACATAGCGACTGGTGTGTTGTGATTTCTTGTGCGCTGCATTTGTTGGGAGACATTTAATAAGAAGAGTTATCAAGTTATTATCAAGTTATTATCAAGTTCAACATAAAACATGAAAAAAATCAAAATAATTATCATTATCAAAGTGTACAATTTGCAAAATTGCTTTAACATAATTATCATTAAGCTATCTATTTGCAAGTGAATAGGACTTTTTAATAATCTGAATAACTGATTAAGGAATGATGTTTTATAATTATCAAAATGAGGATATAATGGGGACATGATATCATAAATACACATATAAATTAAGAAAAATGAATTGAAATGAAAAGTAATAAAAATTACAGTTTCTTTATGAGAATATTTCATAAAATAAAATTACCATTGCATGTTATTGAAAAGTTCTTGATTACAAATGATGTCCAATTGCAGCTGGTTACAATAACTTTTTTGTAAATAACCTAACATACATTCATTTATGCATGGGTTAAATAGTAGTAAAATAGCAAGACTTACCTTAATACAAAATCAGATTTTAGACATAAATAATCAAAATTGTCATTTTTATGAACTTGAATAACTTTAAACGGTAATATACTCGCAGAGTATTTGTCATATCACGATATTTAAGAATACAGTCAGTTAAAGGTTGAACAAAAGAAAGATTTTATTATTTGTGTTTGAAAGCGGTGTTTGATTACCTTTTTTGTTTAGCATAAGAACTTTTCTTTGTATCATTCAGACACATGTTATTGAAATAAATATGCGGTAAGAGTCATTTAAAAATAGGCATTAAGAAAGAAACATAAACTTAATAGGCTCTTTTATTTAAACTTACCTATGTTAATGATTGGTAAATGAACCGTTTTTCAAATGTTGTACTGATGTGTTTGAAAATTTTATTAAATTCCATATATTTCCATTATACATTTGTACTTCCACTTTAAAAGGAATCCATTTTACAGAACCACAAGAATGCCCGGGATATATAAAAGCAGAGTAAGTACAAAATGCAGAAAGATTTTGTAAGAACAAATGAAAAAAGTAATTATTTTGTTCTAAAATTTGTTCTAAGAATTCTATCTTAGATTTGAAATTTTAGTTGATTAACATTTAATTTACATACTAGTTTAGTAGGTACATTGATATACATTTGTTATGTATATGCTTGAAAAACCTGTGCTTATGCGTAGAAAAAGCCAGAGTACTTCATAAATGTGATTTTTGTCCCCAAGCTTTCTTGACTAGCCTTGTGTAGACATGTAGATACTGACGGCTCTACTACTGCAGCATTTTGTAAAAATTACACAACAGTTAATTTTCAAAGCAAATATATATTTTAGTCTTTGCAAAGCAAACAATTTGTGCTTACATTCCTAAAATACAATTATTAAGACGACATAAAATAATCAATTTTTAAGTTTAATTCAACAATACAGCAACATGTATCAAGAACGCATGAAAACATTAGAGATGAGAATAATTGCCATACATAAGTAATCATTTAATGTCGATCGACTTGTGACGCTCGTCGAGTGTGCTTTGTCATGATCAGTTTAAGGTAGAAATCTTTACAAATTATATTTTTAATTAATAATATAATTAGATTGTACACTTTTATCTCGATCAAATAACACGTTATACTCTGTAATGAAATATTTAGAGATAACGAACAGAATTTATGCTTAAAGTCCATAACACAATACAAAACAGTAGTGGAGCAAACAGGTGCCTCACAAAAATCAGACATGGGATCAAGTTCCATAGCGGGGTAAACAGCCCCTGCTGACCGGTGACATGAGCCGTGTGCTCCTTGTCATGATCGGGAAATAATTAAAAGAAAAATCCCTCTTCAATTCAGTGTTCATAAAATGGTCTAACAATACTTATGCAAAACTTCACTCATCATTTAACTCAATTATAAATTGTATTTGCTGATAATGTCATTGTATTGACCACAGAAATTACAAAAAGTTGACTTTAAACGAGACTGCTGATAATCTTATCTCGTCTTAGAAATTAAAAATTGTTTTAATAGTTTAACAATCACAATCATATGTTTTTGTATAACTACTTAAGCTTGAATAAAAATTCTAAGACATTTACAGAAAATCGTGTTTTTGAATGTATATTTTTCTTATAGGATGCGTTGAAATAAAGATAAGTATAGTCAAAGACATGTAGTCTCTTTCCCCAAGGAACTTTCACTTTCACCTACAAAATATGTTTAGATACGTTAGGATATCGAATACTTTGTTAAAATCACAATTATTATCCAGAAATTATATTTATAACAAGACTAAATTGTTCTTTTTAATGAAATGTAATAATTCAAAAATAAACTGTACAGTTATGATAATTTAACCAGAGTCATTCGTTTTCCTAATTGCATGTATTTATATTAAGGATAAAATGTATAATTCTTATCTAAATTTATAAATCTATTTGAACGTGTTACTATATAACCATACTAATCATTAAAAGAGGAAACCCTTATATTGTGCACTTTGATTTAATTCGATCGAATAACACGTTGTACTCCGTAATGAAATATTTGGAGATAATGAACAGCATTTATGCTCAAAGTCATTTAGAAAGTCTGTAGATAATAGATTATTTAGAATACCTTTTAATCACGAAGCGTTTGGGGGTTTTCATATACGTGTTTTCCATTGTACCCATCTAAGCTCTGGTAAGTATGCCTATAAACATATTAATAAAGCATTAAAAGTTACCTTCAATTATTACTTGTATAATTTGTATTATTTCAGAGATAGAGAGAGAGAGAGAGACAGAAAGAAAGAAAGAGAGGCCACTTTCAGAATTTTATTTATAATTAAATTTGTTTTACCTTCTGCTTATATCTGAAACATTTGAAATAATGAACAATTAACTACACTAATTAATTGTCACCATTACTTGTATGTCAAATGTGTTCCTTAATTCCGATCGATATTTACCAGTTAGCTCCTCATAATGATTTGCATTCTCTTCTTTTGTTGATGCTTCTTTCATTTCTCTGTAATTAAAACGTACATTTCCAGTATCTTTAATTTATCGTCTGACATGCTATTTTGAGGTTTGAAAATGTATCTTTTCGAACATTTAAAGATATTTTACTTAAATATTGTTGTTCGAATAAATATGACAGTCAACATAAAGTGGATAATAGTTGAAACCAATCCAACTTATATACCGCCACATGTAAAAGAATACCACAAAACATTTCTGAATCATTATTGTATCTTATTGAGAATACTGAATTTTGTTTTGCATGTTAAAAAGCTTTCAAACTCAATAGTCACAGTGGTAAGAACGTCTGCTCTAGAGTCGCTAAGTAAAGAGTCAATCCTTACGTTGCGGGTTCGAATACCATTGTGGGACGTGGAGACCGGTCCTTCTGATGAGACCGTATAAACCGAGGCCCCGTGTTGCAATAGGTGTTAGCACGAAAAAGACTCCTTATTGACCCTAAGTGCCGAGTATAGAACAAAATTTGCAGCTCTCGTCCGGCAAGTGATGGCGTCTCCATATGAGTGAAAAATTCTCGAGAGGGACGTTAAACAATATACAATCAATCAATCAATCAAACGCAATATTGACTCGAGATCGTACTGCTAAATATAGCAATAATAACATACGAATCCTTGCACGCGAAAAATAATTACTGAGCCAATACAAATAATGATATCAAAATAATAAATTCTTAATCATAGTTCTTTTATGGTGAAGTTGATGCAAGAAATAAAAATTATTCTAGAAAAAAATTTTTTTTAATGTGCACTATCTGTTACACATTACTACCAAAAAACGAAAAAAAAAAATCGTTTTCTCATTTGTAAATATCGTTATAATTCAGTACAAGAAAATGCAGTCCCTGCTCCTTTTACAGTAATATTCTGTGTTAGTAACCTAGACTTTGAATGTGCACAGGGGTCCTTGTAGCACTTCATAATTCAAATTTCTTAAATAAATTTGATTTAGAATCTTAGTATTTGAGTTCAAATTTCTTAATATCAAAAACTCAAACCGATCTTGTATATTTAAATAATAATATTATAATAATATTATACGATAATATACACGAGAAGTGGGAATCAATTTAAATTTTTGAGATAACGAACAATATTCCAGATCAAAAGTCCATAAAACAATACAAAATAGAAGCAGAGCAAAGACAGACCTCCAAAACATAAGATGTTGGATCAGATAAAGCATTTGTTTATAGCATAATTGATGATTTTTTTTTAAAAAAGTGACTTCTATTTAATACATACTTGTTTCTCCTTCTAAATTCTACAAAAAACATTTGATAATTATGTCTCATATCTTTACAAATGAAAAATAGATTAAATTCATCACTGAAAATCCTTGGTAAAACTTATTTGAAACATTTTTAGAAATTGCCCATATTAAGGGAAAAAATTACCGATCATGCAGGAACATTTATAACGCCGAAATATGACGGTAGGAAGACCAACAATGGTAGTGAACACTAGAACTCCAACAAAGCTCCAGATAGCAATCTTAGCTTTATAACTGAGAGGCTCCGTTGATGGCGCTTGTAACAAATAACATTCTAATAATTACATGTATAAGTCTATAAACATAACATTATTATTATATATGGAAAATTAATTGTGTGGGTGTATTTTAGAGAGTGACTATGTGTGTGTTGAAGACGTGTTAGTGTTTGGATTTTAGCATATCTTTTAACATTAAATAGAACAATTAAAAAAATATTCACTAATTGGTATCTGAAAAGATTTCTCAGAAATCAGATTTTTAAACCAAAAATCTTTCAAGTTACTACTATTTAAATTTTAGAAAGAAAACATGATTTTGAAAGAATTCATCATCGCATCCAGAAATATTCTCAATGTCCTTGAGTTTATTATATTTCATAAATTACAAATTCATTTGACTAAGGCAACAATATCAGTATTATAAGTAGTCTGAAAATATACCTGTCATTGTCGTACAACTTGTTCTGTTTGATATTGTGGTACCAAACCTATTTTGTGCAGAAACATAAAACTCATAAAATGTGGATTGACGGAGATTTCCTATGTAGGTTTTGTGTATAATATCAAATCCCCTGTCTGGAATAGGACTGGACCAGCCTGACTCAATGCCGTCATTCAATGAGGTTACAGTAAAGGTTTGTTTGGAACCCCCATCAGAAGATGATGTCCATCGTACCTTTGCCTCTGTTACCAGACATGTTGCTTCAATGTTTGTTGGTTTATCTGGTTTCCCTAAAAATGGAATTAAAGTAGACATCGTTTTTACATGACTTTACATTCATAGCTTTGAAGCTTTTCAATGACGTTTTTTTTTATTAAAAAAAATAATCTGTTCTTAATGTCATCAAATTTGAATAATAGGTCCAAGGGCCTTCTAGGTCAGCTGAGTATCATTTTCCAATCAATTTTCCAACAATTGAATTTGGTTTATTTTTCAAAACAGAGGCCATGGAATTCACAATTCTGGGAGGGGCACCATTGCCTATCATTACTATACTCTAAGCATGCTTACTGTTGTTATTTAACTCCCAGAGGTAGATCAGATTAACAAAGAGAAAATGCATTTCACTTTATGACCATTTTTCACCACACGGGAACCACTGAACCTGGGACCATATATTTCAAAATTTTGGAAATCTTATCATAAATTTTAAATTTTATTTCATCATAAATTGTTGATTAATACCAAAGGGTAGATTTCAAAACAAGTTTAATTTTTAGACTATGTAACCCCCCATTTCCCCTGACCCAGTGTTTATACATTTTGGAAGAGACATCCTTCTTCATAATGATTATGTACTTAGATCATCGGCATGATATCCAGGAGCAATGGAAGAGATTCTCTAAGAATTCATGCATTTTCACTATATAAAAATTAGAGACCCACCATAACACCAGAACCCCTGACCTGGGGCCATTAAATTTACAACTTTGCAAAATGCAGTGTTATTCAATATACCTATTTACTTGGTCAGTTTAATACATGTAAATTCCGAAGAGTAGAGAAGAAAATAATAATGCATTTTCACTATATGAGCCCCGTCCTAGCACTAGAAACCCTAGCACTTCGGCCATAAAGTTCACAATTGTGAAAATGCAGTCTTATTCAATATTACTGAAACTTGTAATTTTTTAAATACCCTAGGGCATGTTAGACCATGCTTTATTCAGCATCATCCACTAAAACTGAACTTTATAGAATGAAGAACTCCCTTATGGGGAGATAAGATATACATAAACTAGAGTTACTTCTCTTTGCATATAACACAT